ATGTTACAGTTGACAATGTCTTGTCATTGCCTATTAATTCAGAGCCCTCATTTTGAGATAACGTTAAAGCATTAGAAAGTAGTGACCCTGGTGAGTCTTTTGGGATAATCGGTAATAAATCACCATTCCGTTTATCTTTGTCGGGAAGCGCGTGAGTTGATTTTGTCCTTCTGTGCGCAGAGAACCTTCTCGGATTTTGTTCCCCAGCAACTGAATTTCGACGAATCTTTGTACGTGCCGCACGCTTAAGTGCTGGCGCCATTCTAGGAATGAGAACAGGAGATTCTACAGTAGCAGAAGAATGCCGGTCAAATATGTTCGGATCTTTAGGATCGGTATCGGTACCTAACAACACGTTAAGTTTTGAACGACAAAGTAAGCATATTAATATCAATTGATATCATATAATGAAAGATTAATTCTAGTCAACACATAAATACATACATATATGTTATACCCCGAATTGGAATCTGTCCGATTCGGAACCCGGCTGCCGGTTGTTCTGATTCAGAATCGAGTTATCAGATTTGGAATTCTCTAAGTAGGTTACCCGGCTTGAGAATATATAATTAATCAATATATTAACCCTAATCCTAACTTTACTAATTTTAAAGCTGGGCAGCCTGCTTGAGAATTCTAAAATCGGGTAATCCGATTTTATCAGATTCTGAATCGGGTAGATTCCATACCGGGGTACAACATATTTATATATAATAAAAGGATAAAAAGAGCATATAATTGAATATTTATAAATATATATATATTATAAAAAAAAAATTTTCACGTATAAAATCATAAATATAATATTATAAATATAAGTTATAATAGTAATGTTTAATATTCGCTGACCTTTCTTACCTATAAAAGGAGAGAAGTTTAAACTAAGACTCCTTCGTATTGTTTTAATTTTTGTTGATTCGGATGTTTTCTCTTTGAATGTAGCGAATGGTTTCCGGTCAAAACCACTCCGATTTTTTTCAGGCTCCACTTTTTTCTCTAATTGTTCATCCTCATCATTTTCCGTTGGTATATATTGCTTAGATAAGGTAGATTTACGCCTCCTCAAAGAGCCCATTCCCGTATTGAACCTATCTTTTGCATGATTATTTAACCATTTTCTGAATTCATTTGGAGCTATTTCTGGATGAAGATGTGCAGGTACCCAAAATAAATGCGACGGATTATCCGTCTCAATGTGAAGCTCTCCTGTGATCGACTCAGAATTTAATGCATAACTTATTTCATTGCTTTCTAAGCCTATAAATGACTTTCTTTTGAGAGTAGCTTCTACAAAGCCAGGGAAAGGTTTTCCAGAGGAAGATTCTGATGAATTACCAGTTATGTTGGTAAAGGTATCTCTTATATCAGTTGAAGATTTAGCCTGTGCAGGTGTAGTTGAAGCTGATGAGTTTTTTTTACTGTCTTTAATGTCATTCTCTTGCTGAAGGGATATATTAGATTGAACTTCATTTTTATTCGTCTGTAAATCATCACTAGTGGTGGTAGAAGAATCTTTTATCGGGTTTGAAGTGCTTAGATCGTTAACCTCGATGCGAGGCAATACTAGTTCAGGAGTGTCGCTGGCACCAAAAACAGCGTCCAAATATTTTATTGAGAATTCCAAAAAAGTTTCACCCGGACCTTCGCTAACCATTGTGTTTATTTTTTTCAATATCCTTTACAAACGAAAAGTGTACCGAGAATAGCACATATTGCCTTTATTGACTTCCAATATACATAATGTTCATAAAGTAATACAGTGGCTAACTTTATTATCATCTCTTGATCTACTAGTCATGTGGTTGAAGGATGACGTTCATATGATTGGCTAATTTTTAATTATGCGGATGCTTTACGTAATGGAGTGATGCAGTGGTGTGTGTATAATCACAGTATTCAATACAAATTAAAGCGACCTTTTTTGATGGAGAAGGTACTATACGTACGTAGTACGAGTATTATCCTTTTTTTCGTGTTAAGGATAAGAACTGATTATAAAACAAAAAGCTTTAGTTTGAAGAATCTTTCTTTTAGATATCACAATCCGTTTTAATTTACCGTACTACAGTACTACAGTATTACAGTATTACAGTACTACCTTACTATATACTTTGTATACTCTGCAAGAGTACGTAACTATTAAAACCAAGCCACGCCAAGATTATTACTCCAGATTAACTCCATAACGATAGTTTTTACCCAAGTATAATCAATATTACCCTGGATTATTGCAAATGTTAATTATATAGCTTATACGTATATATATTTAGAACTTCATTTAATATTGATGATCTTCATATTTATTATTTTAATACAATTGATAAAAAAAACTATTTTTTTTAACCTGAAGCAGATTAGTAGCAGCTCCGGTGTGAAGGTGCAGAAACTTAGTGACGTATTGTTACGTCAAAAGTGTATGTATATATTAACAAAATATTACAAATTTGGTTTTTTAAAAAAATTTCAATCTAATTAATCACCCTTTATTTTACAGTGTCATGATATAAACTTTTTTCGAGAATTTACATAATAAAGAAAATTTTATAAGCCGTTCTCATTTTAGTGAAGTGACCCGCTCTGTTATATAGTTAAAATTTTACAAAATTCATTATATCGAATGGTTATTGTGTGTCAAATTAATAGATTAAAATGATTATAATACCGTCCCTTACCCTAACATAGAATTTCTTTCCTAATGAAACAGTATTAAAATTTTGATCTGACACAAACATGTACAATATTAATAAATTCACTATTTTAAAAAGAAGTCTAACTTTTTGTCTTCATATCGAGAGTTCACATAATGAATGACTGATACCATCGAATATTATGACACATATCGGCATAGAAATAGCCAGGGCGGCCCCCCCAAAGTACTGTTACACGATGAATGCGCCACAGCCGCAGCCGCAGCAAATTGATCTCCACCAATCAGATAACATTACCTATATAAGCGATTTACGGTCCCGATAACGTATCTG